CTTTGACTAACTCTTTCTTTGACTACCTTTTTCCCTGACTAACTGTTTCTTTGACTAACTCTTTCCCTGACTAACTCTTTCTTTGACTAACTCTTTCTTTGACGAACTCTTTCTTTGACTAACTTTTTCCCTGACTAACTGTTTCTTTGACTAACTCTTTCCCTGACTAACTCTTTCCCTGGCTAACTGTTCTTTGACTAACTCTTTTTTTGACTAACTCTTTCTTTGACTAACTCTTTCCCTGACTAACTGTTTCTTTGACTAACTCTTTCCCTGACTAACTGTTTCTTTGACTAACTCTTTCTTTGACTAACTCTTTCTTTGACTAACTCTTTCTTTGACTAACTGTTTCTTTGACTAACTCTTTCCCTGACATTCTAAAAGTCCGTAACACGGAAGTTTCTCCCACTAAACTTCCTTTGACAATGTCATAAGTGATGATGTGGTGAAAAAAAACATGCCACAATGCCACAATGCCACCACCCATGACTGGGAATGGTTCAATTATACCACCTATTGATGGTGATAACTTTATATGTTTCCCCTTTTTAGCATCAGAATTGGTTGTGATACTGTGGATGGTTGAGAAATCCGAATCACCAGTTTATAGATGGTAAACATCCCATTGTTTATAGGGTTTCAACATGTTTCAACCATCCAAGGTGGTGCAGGATTTCGCAACCATCCACAGTATGTTGTGCTTGGGGCCATCCACCTTGTCAAGGCCGCAGAGCTCCAGCTGGGCCATGATTTTCCGCCGCTTCCTTCAGCGGAGGCCCGAAACATCTTATGGCAGTTTTAGGCTGAATCTACTATGTATATAACTGTATATATATATATAATATATATGTATGTATGTACAGGTACATATACTGTATATATATATACTGTATATATAATATATGATAATATATGTATGTTGATATATGTTATTATAGATGTATATATATATATAAATATATATATATTATATTGTATAATATATATAACTGATTATGACTGAATATAACTGCATATCTATGCAAATGAATCAAGAATATTCAAGAATGATATGATGTCCTTACAATTCCGTACATGCATTTCTCTATAATATACTTGGTTCGCAAAAAATGCTACCCATCATCTGGGGAGAAATGAACACGGGATTTTGGAGTTCCACATTGGCGATGACCCCCATTTCTGTATGGTTTCCAACGTTTGGTGATTTGGTTTGGTGATGAATGGATTGCTGAAGATGCCAAACCTTAGTGCACTCTTTTTAAGTGACTCTTTTTCTGACTCATACCCTCTGGTAAACCTTTACATAACTATGGAACATCACCATTTTATAGCTGGGTAAATCAACTATTTCTATGGCCATTTTCAATAGCGATACCTGGTCTCCTAGCGTTGCAACTCATTGAGCCACCAGCCAGAAAAGCTCTTTGTCCCAGCGTCTCAGCTCGCTTTTCGGCCCCTGAGAGGTTGCCGTTGCCCTCCACTGAGTCGATCGCCATGATCAGAGGGGCACTCAATTCTGTCAATTATACTGACTATACACTGACTAGTTGATGGTTTCATTCCCTCTGAAAAATATGAGTTCGTCAGATTGGATCATCATCCCAGCTATTGGGGAAAATAAAAGCCATGTTCCAAACCACCAACCAGGTGATTATATCTTAATTGACATGGATGAAACATATTAAAAAATCATCAACGTGTATTACAAGGGTGCATTTGGATGTTCATAAATTTGGGGGTTAGTTGGCTGGTCTCTTCGCCAGCTCTCCCAAATGTTGAGATCATGGCTACCTTTGAGCCTCAACTGCACGCGCAAGAACACACATGCCACAAGGGATGCCACAAGAGTTTTTTATGGTTTTTTCATACCTTCGCACCCCAGGAAGACCGCCATTTTCTGTTGGGATTCCCCCAGTTTTTGGATACAAAGTGACTACAAGCCTGACCCCTTTTCTGGCAAAAAACCATCCATTGCCATGGCTCTGGCCACGCAGTCGGCAATGAAACGCTGCGATTCCAAAGGTGCACCAGTTCTATCATGTTCCATGGCATGACAGAGGAAACAAAGTCTAGCTGGAACAATTCAACAACCAGAAGAAGTGCACCCGCAGAAATCATCCACTGCAGCTGGCTGCCATGTTTCACATGACATCCTGCGCCATCGACGATTAACCTCGAGATGAACTCCGCAAAATTCAGCGGATCATCTGCATAAGACTTTGGGGTTCCACCCCACTCGTTCGCGCGGGTATTGCCGCGCGTACGAACGTGGGCGAGCCCCAGGCACAGTTTGGGGGTGAGTGTCAGATGCTAAAGGATGTGCAGATGTTAAAGGTCATGAAGTTGTTGTTTTTCCCCTGGAAACCTTTCAACACCCATTGTTCAATTCAAAAAGAAAGAAAATCCTTCCGCAAGGTCTTGAAGTTACCAGTGCCCTTGATGACATGAAAAGTTCACGGCACTACAGGACAGCCAGGGCCGAAGCATTGCATCGCTCAGACGTCTTCTCCTCTCCAGTTGTGATTGCTGATTTAACCGCAGGTGCACCACCGCGGAGTTTGGGTAATCCACGAACTTGAGGACAAACTGAGGATAATTGCTGATATGGATAATAGATTAGACAGACATTGATTGAGCATTGTTGTATGACAACCATGGATAAACCAATGGACTGACTCATGGTTTTGGGGTACGAATTCGTCAACAAAACTGGAGATTCAACATGGCTTTCACCAACAAAGAGAAGGCCAAAACAAACAAAACAAACTAGTTAAACTGACCAGAAAATCACTTCCGAAGATTTGGAGGGGGGAATGTTGGCAACAACGTTGGGGATTCTTGGGAAGCACGTGTTCGAACATTTCTTGGGGAATTCTATTTGTTGGAAGTAAGTGGTTTCAATAGCCTCCACCGCCCCACCTCCGACCACAGCAAAGACCTGAGCTGGTGACATTGCCGTGTTAAATGGGGATGTGCAACTTCAAAATTTATTTAAGATCCTATCTGATCCAATCGAATCAAATCTGATCTAGTCTATTCATTTCTATAATTACATGTCAATCTTATCTGACCTATATATCTACCTATCTACCTATCTACCTGCCTACCTATCTAGCTGGCTATCTATATCCGAGCACGTTTTTGTTTACGATCTGATGATCGGTCTATCTGTGGTCCCAAAGTGGCGTAAATTTGGCCCAGACACATGTGGCTATGAAATGGAGCAAATCCAAGATGGAGATTAAACCACCTAATATACCCTCTGGTTATTTAACATAGCCATGAAATGGCCCATTTATAGATGGTTTACCTATTATAAATGGTGATTTTCCATGGCTATGTTAAATAACCAGATGGTAATCCTCAAAGATGCGGACGTGTCAGCGAAAATCATCAGGACAGAGCATAGAACACCCATGGTCCGGTAGATCAATCAGCTTTCCATTGGCTGATCTGTTTGGGGCATGCTTTCAAAGCCAGGATTTCAAAAACCCAGTGAACCCAACGATTGCATACATTTGGGGTGGCTTTAGTCCATGAAGTATGGTCCAAAATCCAAGCACCAGTCAGGATTTGCGACGAATCCCTTCTCAGGTGCCTTTTTCAAGTGGTCAGTGGCCACGATTTGCAAATTCTCTGGGGTAAGCTCCTTATATCTTGTACCCAATCGTATGAGACACCCCCCCATCATGCGCCCCCCAAGTCATGAATGGGTCCAATACATTGCACCCTTTGGGGGTTCCGAAATTGATGGTTGGTAGTGACGAGATACGTTGTCCATCACCTGTGCCAAGGTAGGCCCGATGGGAATGGGATGAGGATGATGTTATGGGGGAGCATCATGTTAAACTCACCAGCTCACTTAGACGCTCTCATGACTTATCAACCACTCAACCTCTGAGTCCATGTGGATATAGACGCTCTCATGTTGCTTCTCCAAGGACCTCTTCAAGGATACCTGTTTGACTCTTGCCCTGCTGTAAATTACCCTGGTCGGCAGGAATTCTGCAGCTGAATCTGAGGAGGACAAATCTGTGGAACAGTACCATGGAAAAGCCCAATTGCCGATTCTTTCTGAATCACCATGTTCAAAATTGGGGACCCAATTTTAACATATTTTAACCCAATCTTTGTGACACCACAAGCACCATTTCCCATAAAAGCCATTTCAATCATTCGAAAAACGCTTGGTGAAATCCATGGATCCGTTGCCTCATCCGCGACCAAGTTCAACAACTGGTCGTCTTCACCGACATCAACCAGAACCACCTGCAACGGGGAACGGGGAACCGGTGCCGAACCGGTCCCGAGAACAACACGGGAAGTGGAAAACGGCGGCGAAGTGACAGCCTTACAATTGGGGACTGAAGATCTAGCTATGTATATATATATACATTATATATACCAGTTAGAGTAATGAGTGAGTGAGTGAGTGAGTGAGTGAGTGAGTGAGTGAGTGAGTGATTGTTTGATTCATTGACTGATTGACTGATTGATTGATATGTACCAGTTCTATACCAGTTAAATACCAGCTGCCAGCTACGAGTATCATCTTCTCGTGGAGATGGGATCGAGCATCTTACAGGCAGTCCCAGAAAGTCCACTATAGAAATTGTCGTTTAAATGGATGCATCATGCAAAAACGAAAAAATGATCATTGCCATGCTTGATTACCGGTATACCCCATACTTGCTTCGTTGCTTTGATAATATTTGTACATGTAGCCCAACCAGTACAAAATGGCTAGTATCTCTCTTCTATCTTATGTTTGATTCATATGCTAAGAATTTTATTGGGCCTTTGTAGTCCAACCAATATCTCAGTATCTAAAATAGACCTGTTCTATCCTGTTCTACCCCATGTTTCATTCATATCATGCATATCCACAAAGAAAAAAGCACCTTGGAAAATAGTTGAAGCCATATTCAGCACATTTGGGGGTCGGTCGGGTGAGTCGCACCTCGTCCTCATCGATGGCGTCAGGCACCTTGAATAATGGGGATTTCATGGGATTTCATGGGGATTTTTCATGGGAAAATCATTGGAAATTCATAACTGTGTTCATAGTGGTGAATCATTGATGATCATGGATTCATTTTATGGGATATGATAACTATTATAACCATAGTATAACCCAATATATGGTATATCCATATACTAATCATGGGATATGGATAGTGGGATATAACCTCCCCAGTTTTTCACCCCCCCAGTATTTCATGGTCATCGCGCCTCGGCCGACTCCAGGTCATCTAGAGGGGCCTGGCCCACTGGATTCGTTGGGGGATCCACTGCAAGCCATCACAATCCACATAAGAACAGGGATGGAATATAAGATATATAAGGAAAGCACTTAAGACTTTTCTGTCACCATGTTTATTGCTTATATATGCTCATATGGTATCATATAGTCATACCCAAACTTTGTTGATGAAATCAATGGAGAGATGATACCGCAGACCAAAACAAAAGACTTGAGAGGTAAACGGAGTAAAGAATCATTGGTGGGTGGTGCCTAAAAAAACTGCAAGGGGCACAAACAGAGGTATGCAAAGAACCATTGGGGCTGATTCCAGTGATCATTCACTCATTTGCATTTTCCAATGGATGTTTCACCATGGAAATGCCCCTGCAACAATGAATCTATTACCAGATAGAAAAGTTTTTCCGTAATTCCCTGCAACTCTAACGATGATTTCTTTGTCTCTGTTTTGTAGACAATCGCTTGGAAACATTGCCCGTTTTACACGTACCTTCCGGCAAACATGGCGCGCCCGTTTTACTTACATGTCCTGTGGGACGATTTTCGCGGCAAAACCTCTGTAAGTTTCATTCGGGGATGGCTAGAAGAGCCATGTTTGATGACACCATTTCGGGTATATCCCAGTTATCCATATTTATCCCAAATGAAATCTCAATATGCTCCATGGAACCATGTGAAATCCCATGAAATCCCATGAAATCCCATGAAATCCCAATCCCATGGAACTCCCACGGATGGCTTACCACCCCCAAGTCTTACCGTTCACCATTGCCTGCACCACTGAAGAAGGTGGTCGGGTTGAAGCAGCTGCCTGCCGTGATGAGTTCTCATCCCGATCCAGAACAGGGCCCCCGGGGCAACCAACAAAAATAGGATTTTAACCATGCCAACAATGTTGGTATTTCATGGTATTTCATAGTGGGATACCATTGGATTGGTTGATATATGTTGATACTGGGTAACCCTCTGGTAAACTAACATAGCTATGGAAAATCACCATTTGTAGTGAGTTTTCCCATTAAAAATGGTGATTGTCCATAGCTATGTTAAATTACCAAAGGGTAACCCTCTGGTTTTTGAACATAGCTATGCAAACAGTGACCATAAAAATATAGTTCGATGATTCATCTCCTTGAAGTTCGATGGTGATTTTCCATAGATCAAATCACCAGAGGGATCCAGAGGCTATGTGATGATATTATGTCATGTATACAATGTATACACATGACACCACCAACCAGAAATTTCAGAAATCACAAAAGAAAATGCCTTCGGCCTGACTCAACAATCCAATCAGACTGGGTTTTGGCCAATGCACCAACAATACCATCTGTCTTGGCTCGCATTCGATTTAGACTCCGATGATCCAAAAATGGTCATAGTAATCCCCATCAAATTCCATCAACCCATTGATGTCCGTCGAAATTCCTTGCAATTGGGGATGGTCATGTTCATCTTGGGCGGACCATCACAGAAAATAAATAATTTTAGGAACCTGCTTATCTGCATCTATCTATTCCAGGCTACAAAACTCAAGCCAATCTTCTTAGGAAATTTGGTGGCATACATCAGCGAATGGACCCAACTGGCATGACCTTCGCAGCTAGTGGCCATGGCCCATTCCAACGAAACATGCCCAGTATATGGACGTGCTCAACCGGCTCAACCAGCTCCAATCTGTTGACAAAAAGTCACTGGCTGCTACCCTCAATGGAGTTGTCCCCTTCAATGGGTTTTAATCCCATGTTTCCCACTCAAAGGACCCATGTTTGATGTCAAACCCTTGGGCATCCATTAAAGGGTTACTATGGTGAAGGGCTTCCTGCCCAAAGGACTTGGAGGTGGGCTCCATCTATGGCCACCTGTGTTTCTTGACCCCAAAAATTTAGGATGGTCGTTACACTCAAAATCATCACTCAAAGAAGGACTTACTTTTTGTTTGGAGTATTTTTAAACCTTTATTCAAATGGCCAATCTTGGATACCCAGCAAACACAGAAACTCTTTGAAGCGCTTATATAGGTTTACAATGTGCTTCATCAATGTGACAAAAATGAGTTACCCTCCGGGTGATCAAACATGGCTGGCTGGGAAATCTCTTGTATGATCCTAGAAACCATTAGAAACCTACATATATATATTATACTATATTAATATATATACATAAATTAAGATAATTAAGTTTATAGCTGGGAAAATTATCCATTGCTGGGATTTTCCAACACACCATACTGGAAGGTAGCACGAAAATCCCAGCTGCACCTCCGCCTCTTGGCTTCGCGCAGGCCTTTGGACTGCAGCCTGGCGAAGGTCTGGAACTGGAACTGGGAGGGAATCGGTTTCCCAATCTAACATGAGGATCAACATGTTGCCAAATTTATATTCTAAGTATATGACTGGACAACAAGAGGATCAAACATGCTAAATTTTTGGAATTGTCCCTCGAGTGAAATGTTCCACGCTTTTTGTTTGGTGACTTGAACGATCGGTGAAATGGTGACTTGATCATCAAAAATTGGGGTGTCTTACCATCAACAATGAATCCATCATGATAACGCAGTTCCACGAAAAGCGGTGATTAAACACCAAAACAACTAAAATGGAGATAGAAACATGGGCAAAAAAAAACATCAACGTGAGTAAACTATCCAAAAATTCGGGCTTAAATCCATATTGGATGGATTAATCCCGCTGATGTTTTTCCATGTATCATCTGCATTTTAGTTCACGGTTCATGGAATTGGGACTTCGCCACTAACAATTGGGCTTGATAGCTTCTCTTGAAATCCAACAGTCCAATAGGTTTATCTGGACACTTTCGTCCAGTTCCATGCCTGACTTAAGTCAAACAATCCATGGTTTCGCAAAATATCAGCAATCATTGTGTTGTGTTTTAAATAACAAATAAATCTATTTCGGGATATCTCTACCAAAATTAGAACACCATAGGTCATGCAATTCTTTAGCCGTTTGAGGCACAAAATAATCCACTGAGATGGGGGACATATTTGGGACCATACATTGGGGCTGCTTCTTGGGATAGATTTTCTTTACCCAGAATTCAAGGATAGGATATAACATATTATAACATGTTATAACATGATATGTTTCCCGCAGTCTGACCTACTGCCACTGATCTTTCTGGCATCCCTCAAAGTGTTTTCCTGATGACAGCATCGGCCTCCACTGGCTCAACAGTGGGCGCCAACTTGATTTTCACCTGCCCAAAGGCACCAAAAAACGGCACCCTGTGGTTTCACCGTGACCGTTTTTCTTGGTGTTGAGAGAGGTTGCTGTAAGGTGGGTGTTTTTTCGAAAATGGATTTGACCCTCGAATGAACATTTTAGTAGTGAAAATGATCAAAAACCATGATAAACTATCAAATTACGGGATACCATATGTTCATATTTTTTCAGACAAACCCAGGTCGATGTATTGTTTTGTTTTATTGTGAGGACCCCAGTGATCCTTCAACTTGGTTTAATGTCTGGTACCAGGCCCACCAAATGCAGGCAATTTTTTGGCGCAAGTGCGCCAAGTTGGCAATGGAAAATCCTGCGCATGTGAGTAATTTGTCATGGACAACATAATATTTTTGCAGTATTAGGTTTTACCGAAGAGTAATTGAAATCCGAAAACCAAAAAGGAAAACCTTTTCCTAATCGGGACGTTCCCAAGAATCTAAAACCTGATTTGTTCATCAAATTGATGGTTTCAGACGAACCTCAAATGCAGGGAAATTCAGCATGAAATGACTGTGGTCGGTTTTTCCACATCCAATCATTGCCGCTTCAACCCAGCATGCAAACCCATCCTTGGCCGAAATTGTTCCATAAACAGTTGAAAACCATTGCATGCATCAAAAAACATCCATGCCGATGGAAACTCCCACAAAAAATTGAACACAAAAATGATGATACGAGTACCTGCCACCCAGAATGGTGTATATTGGTTGCCAATGTTCCTTTATGGCCCTGATCTGAAACATAGGGTACCTCGTCCACTGGTTCACCACCATTGTCCCTATTGAAGTTGCATATGGCCATGGGGCATCCACCGCATCATGTTCAAAGCCATCGAATTGTGCTTGGTCATTTCAAAAATCTTCTGTTCCATGAAAAATCCCACAGACAAAATATCATAACATATCTATAAATCCTTTCCTGTTCCATGAAAAATCCCACCAATATGTTTGGCTCCGTAAATTTCCCACTCTCTGGATCAGTGGTTTTTCGGTTTTCGGATCTCCCGTACCTTATCCTGCACCATCTGGATGGCTTGCGTTCGCGGGGGCATCGGCAACTCCTGGGCCATGTTAGCACTAAAAGATATGTCGAAACACCTCATCTTTGTTGTTTGATGATGTTTTATATGTGCATCTGTTGGTGTCTACATAGTTACGTAACTCGATGTACAGTAATATTTAATTATATATAATAGATTAATCTATTATGTGTATCAAAGCGAATCGCCCATACATATTGATTCAACCCATAGTTGCGCCATCAAATTCAACACCCCTACCTTTGTTGCATGACTCCCCGATATTCTAAAAATCCATCACGACCTCTCTGCTCCTGGAAAGTGCAAAGTCCCCATAGCAGGATGGCTAAAAATTGGGATGCCCAAGAATGGGATTTGCGTGAGCCAAAAAAAAAACTGATCCATGCCCAAATGGCTTGGTGCAGAAAAAGAGGCATCCCCCAAGATGGCAATGTTCATCGAAAATACGATGAAGCATCCAGAAAAGAATCAGCGAAAAAATGTGCTTTTCCCCATGTTTGACGCAAACCCAAATAGGTGTGTGTCTGGAAATGGGGTATACCTCCAAATCTAAGTCTTCATCATCAGTTTCCAACAAGTGACGATTTTGGATGATAAGAGGGGGGCATTGTCCATATTTTTCCCTCATTTTTTCCCCAAATCCTTTCTCCATGGATCCCCATGGTCCTCCAGCTCAGGAACGTCCATCTCGCTGTCCATCACCTGCTCCACCGTGCCCAAGAGACGATACCTCATGTCCTGTGGCCGCACGCTGGGCGGTGTCAAGCGCCACCAGTTTAGGTTTAGGGTAGCCCCAAATCCATTGGAACCAATGACTGTCGGAATCATCTGGAACCCATCCTGCACGATCAGAAAAACCCAAATGATTGTTTCCCATTTCTTGATTCTTGCCCACTTAAGAGAATATTCTGGTGTGTTCTGGGTACATCACCTATAGAAATGATTGACAAAAATCCAGCCATGGTTCTTCAAAGGCCTAGTTGGTTCCATAATGTCATACATAAATATGTATATATATAATTATAATTAATTATATGCGTATACATATATATATACGTATATATACGTATACATATTTTTTTGTATCGCATTTTGATCCCACAAAATCCCACTCAATCCCCAATGAAAATTCCATTAAATCACCATTTTTGACGATTAAATTCCCCATATCTTTAAGCTTCAAAGTAACACGTCCCAGCCTGTGGCACGCGTTCGCTACGCAGGGCCGAGTCCAAAGCACCCATCACCTTTCGAGCGTTGTCGGCCAGCGTAGCGAAAGGTTTAGCTTGTTGAATGATGTCAATTCCCAGGGTGAGCCAAGGTAAACCAAGTAATGGTAAATTTTGATGTCAATTGATGGATAATTTTTGATGTCATTTGGGAATTACCTTGGTAAACCAATGGGAAATGATGTCAAATTGATGGATACAATCTTAATTAATGTTACATCAATTCCCAGTAAGCCAAGATATAGAAAACCAAGGTAACGCCAGTAAGATTACATCAATTCCCAGTAAAGCCAGTAATTCTCAGTTGGTGAGCTATGTCCTTTGCCATACAATGACATAAATGGGAAAGGCGGGTCATCTTTAGCAGCAATTTGGGGGTCCAATCATTGTTGAAGCCACATGAGATTTAAAGCTGTCACTAAGAAAATCTGGATCTTTTCCAAATCTGAAGACTTGAAAGGATATGAAGAAATGGGCTCTCAAATGCTTGAAGCATGAACCTATGAAGAATATATATATATATAGATAGCCAATGAACATTTAAGGTTTATGATATTGCTGTAGAAAAACTTCTGACGGACCCAGACCGCTCATTGGCACCCTCCATGGAGAATCCGGTAATGAATTTGGATGATATATCAAGATACGGGTGTGTCCAAAAAATGGTGACAGCCGAAAAAATGCCATATCATGTGATTTCAATGTGGGACACATTCTGGTCAACAGATAGGTATTTTGGGGTACCCTTATTAGCAGACAAAGCCTAATATGCCCCTAAAAAAATAGCTTTGACTGCCTCACTTGTTGACTTGGGAAATGCCCAGCTCTTTCTGCAGCAGTCAGTGAACACTCAAAGGTATCACAGGGGAAGGGAAAGCTCTGAACGCATTTCAACGGGGCCCAAGAAGCTGCTGTCAGCATCAAAAACATTGATGAACTTTACATGAAACATATCAAAGCAACTCCAAATAAATAGTTTTTTTTGTATATCATAATTAATCATAATTATATCCCATTGCTCTTGCATCATTCCGCGGTCCACCTTGTTACGCAGCTGAGCCACTGAGGCCTTAGTTGTCCAAGCTTCACCGGGATGGGTTTCCAGGGCTCCCATTCTTCGAAGAAAATAACACGGACGGTCTTTCAATAGGCTACACAAAAAATCTGATGTTTCATCATAATCATCATAATCATCATAATCATAATCATCATAATCATCATAATCATCATCATCATCATCATCATCATCTGATTGGTGGTTCAACCCCTCTGAAACATATAAGTCAGTTGGGATGATTATTCCCAATATATGGAAAAATAAAAAATGATCCAAACCACCAACCAGATAATCATCATAATCTTCTAGCATTGGGTAACATGGATTAACATGGACAATCCGAAGATACCCAGCAGTTTTCGAACAGCCGGCTGTTAAGATTACCCATTGTTTTGCAAAAGATCAGAGTACCAAACTGCCCATCATTGCCCAGGGCCCAGTAAATATCCCGCTCATATCAATATCCATAGCTGAAAAACATGCTGAAATCCCATGAAATGTTGCTTCATGGCGCGGTATATAAATCTCCACCATAAAATGATGCTTTTCAATATGTGGTATACCCAAGGCCATAAACCATCCCCATACCATCGCCATGGGTGGTAAAAATGTTGGACCAAGATATCCTGTCGGACCCGGACCATGGAGGGCGCCAAGGGCTCAAGGATTCTGGGCCTGGGGGCGGGATGATCAGTGTGAGGCCTCTCGGCCTTAGACAAAAATCTGATCCCTGCGATTTCTGTAGGCGCACTTCAAAGCCAGCCCTAGCGATCCACTTCAAATGTGCGATCCATCCATTTCTGGAGTTGTGAAATTGGGTGAGCACTTGTCCCAAAAAACTACTTTGGGTGAATCACGAAGTGCTGGATTAGAGGCACGAAGTTAGGTAGATGTCATTAAATGGCCCTTCCAAACACACGGCTAACAAGAGTGTATGAGGGTGGTGGACGCTGCTACTTAGCCAGCATTTTTTGTCCGACTTAGAGGCTCTCAGTCGTAATCCAACATTGAATTACAGGAGTTGTTCGGAATTCATGCCAAAGGTTCAGCAGGGCTGCACATCTGCAGTTTCCACCTACTAAAAAAAGGGGATTATCTTCCCAGGCAGCAAGTGCAAAGCAAAAAGGCATGGCTCGAACCAACATCCACCGACCCTATACTTTGATAAGTGTCAAATCAAGTACTGCCCGAACCCGCAGGTTTCGGTGTAATTTTGACTATGTCATAGTTACTGGCATGCCAATGTGTCAATGCACAACCTCCTAAATTAAAGGATTGTTTGATGCTCTTGAACATTGACCCGTAATACCATGCTATCTCTGGTTATGTCCGCAGCTTCTGTGGGTCAGGTAATCTTTCATCTCTCATACAATGTGATTCAAATCACTATTTTGTTACTTGGGTCTGTTTCAAAATAATATGCCTCAAAACTTGATGGCTGATCATTACGTTTCCTATTAAAACTGCTAGTTGCATGCTGTAAATATTACATCAATATCCCTTTTTGGTCATTTTCGCCCACAAAAACTGTACATCTTCCCCTCACCTCAGAGAAAGCCACACCTGCGCGGTCGCTTGCGCTGCGGCAAACCCGGGACGACTGGGGCGAAGTACACCTGTCGTCGGAGTCCAGGCTGAGCGATGAATAAACCCTGGTGGATTCATGAGGATACTCCGGAGCATTGCCAAACTTAGATACCCTGCGGAAGAAAAAACACACATGTATATATATATATATGTATATATATATATACATATATATATATACATATATATATATATGTACAGTATATACATATATATACATATATATGGTTTTTGCTGGTTGGTATATAAGTATTCCAGTTTATGGCAACAGATTCACTGAATTTCACGGATTTAAAGCACCGGTCCAGTCGGAAGCTCCCCGCAAAAGTGCCCAGTTGTTTCTAGTGACGACATTCCTGAGATGATCCACCAACCTTCCTTGCAGACTTAGTCACACCCTTGTTCTTGATAGACTTATGTTCCCCAATATATATATATATATATATGTACATATATATATATACATGTATATATACAATTATATACATATATATATATGTACATATATATATATATGCACATATATATACATATATATATATATAAATACATATGTATATATATATATATACATATTATATATATATACATATATGTATATATACATATTATATGTATACATATATATATACATATATATATATGTATATATATACATATATATATATGTATATATATATATATGGACAATCCAAAAATAGATATAACATAAATGGATATATCTATGATGAGCCTATGGCCTATGGTCATCCCAATGTAATATTGGGATCAGGGATTCAAGGAGTCTTCCCCCAAACTATGAGGCCAGAAATTCTGGCCTTGTCAGCCAGGTCGGCCGATGGTCTGATGCGGTCCTCCGTGACACGCCAGCCGAAGCCTTTCATGCTCCCGTTCAACCTGAGAAATGGCGACCGGAAGTCCGAAGCAAATGCTCACCCTACCAAAATAGCTGGCTAGATATGGATGTTCGGGCCCCCAAAAATGGAATTATATAGGGTTTGATCATGTTTGATCCATCCATTTTGCCCATGGCAGTGGTCGGGAGAGCTTGTTGCTATTAATGTTTAGTGGAGTTTGAGACTCAAGAAATCGATGATTTTTCACCGGCCTGAAGTTTGGATTTTACCATTAAGAATGGGGTCTCATACGACGATGTTTTTGTGGTCTGAGGCCTTGGTTGAAACAACATGTATCACAAGACTTGTGGTCTGGTCTTCCAGAACACTACCTGGTACAGAATATCATATCCGTCATATCTTTGCAGTTCATGATGTCATGTTCTTGATGTTTTTTGGAAACGATTAATCCCAAACGAGCAAATTTCGACAGGGTGGCTGCAAGTCACGGTCGTTGAAAGATACCTTCATAGAGCAGGCAGGATGACAAGTCAAAAACTCCTTCAACAATCTGGTTATACCGTCTATTGTAATGGGGTAATATCTTAAGCCATGGGACTTTGGGGTACCCCACTCCCAAGGTACATAGCAGGCTGAGCTGACCATGCTTTAGGCCCTGTTGGTCCATTGCTGTTTTTCAAGGATGCAACTTACACCATCTTACACCCAGATGTTCCATGATTTCCATGTGCAAATCAGTCTCAAAAGCATTCGACCACCAAAATTCGCTGGTTCCCTTTAGGGTCAATCTCGCATGTGATCCCCGTTCAGTTTTTACTGGTACTCAATTTTCAACATGTTGGTTCGATGTGTCCAAATGACCTGTGTTCTTTGATTCCATGATAGCGGTTGGTTAATATAAATTCATTTGGATTATGAGGTTATATAATATGAATTCACATGGATTGTGATAATGCAATGATAATCCCCCGTATATTGGGTAGTATAATTCCCTGTAATAACCAATGAAAGCAGCCACTGCTCAAACCAATCTCAACGATTTGCTGCCAAAAAACGGTCGTTCAACTGTCGGCTTGGGAACCGCTGGCCGCGATGGATAGACCTTGCAGCTATCAACGCAGCAAGGGCATATGAAAATCCACTGAAAACATGTGAAAACTAGATATTTAGGAAACTCAAAAAAAACGAAAGTACCATCCGGGAAAAAATGAAATAATAATAATTTGTGGCAAATTACGTGTCTATCTTGTTCGGGGTTACTATGCAGTATATCTACCATAAACCATTTAGCTATTCACTAACTTTGCGAGGTCAAAAACCAAACGCTACTTTTGCTATCAAAATAGTTAGTAGATATGGATGTTCATCCAAAAAAATTGTAATTCTAAGTGCTGATCCATCCCCCTTGCATGTTGCAAATGCAGATGCCCATGTGACTTGAGCATCCAAGCTGGTGTCAATCACTTGGGGAGTCAAGGGTAACAAGTGAATGTGCCAAAGACTTGGGGACTGAAACAAAAAACACACTATTTGACATAGAAGGGCAAAGAAATTGTCTACACGACCATTTCGTGTGACTCTCAGTGGGTATAAATTTCAAGGATGCCGATTGGAGAATGATTTGACAAGACTGATGCAAACTGATGCAATATGCTAGCACTTTCCTAGTTACTCAAGGGTTGATCTTGTTGGAATTCGAGACAAAAAAACACACAGATCACCCCTGAAATATTCCTCCCCTACATTTCTGGCAAATGTGGCTAGGCTGGGGGGATACGAACCGATTTTTTCACCCTGAGCAGCCGCTCCAGTGAGGTTTCCTCTGCCGGAAAATACCTGAAGACTTGGCATCAAAGTCACGAACCAACCACCACGGGGGGAATAAAGAACCACGATTATGATATGCGATGGAACCAACCAGAGATCCAAAAATGCGAAAAATGTATTTGTATCTGTACATGAATCAACCAAAACCTTGGGAAAAATGCAATAGTCCAACAAAATCCATGATCTTTTGGTTGTTTCAACCCTATATATGGAAAAGAACATGCTGCGGCCATGGGGATCATCATTCTGTGGGGATCATCAGTCCATATCTTTTACTTTTACATTGTGCCCTGCCCCAAGAATCCCAACCAACCGAGAAAAAATGGTCTCCAACAACCTTTGCATGTAGGGGCATTTACTCGCAGTGTCCAGAATATACCTCGTTTTTATCACTAGTGGCACATGGAACTTCATGATACATCTATGCGAACATTAAAAGCAAAAACTCAAACCAGAAACGCTTCGCCAGGTTCAACTACAAGCCGCTAAGGGATTTTAGTTTCTGTTCCCATTCATGTTCAGTACTTGGACGTCTTTCGAATATGGGTTTGTCTGAAAAATGGATACTCCAAATTGTTGATGGGTAATCACCATAGTTTTCCCCTTGTTTTAAGTAGCACTTTCTGGGTACTTTCCAGTTGTTTGAACAAACATATCCCAAAAAAACGGGACATACCCAACGCCACAAACCTCGATTGGGGATGGTTTATGGCATTGGGTTCAATACAATAAATCCCATATCACTATTGTTGATGGTTCATTCACCGTCTTCAACTAGGATCTTCATCAAATCCCGTCATCATTTCCATATGTTTTCCACATGATTTCCATACCGAATCCATAAACATCCCTATTGTTGATGGTTTTCATTCACTTCATTCACCATAGTTTCCCAGTTCTGATCTTTAAAAAAAACAAAAAAAACATGGGGATTTTCCATCCGTTGGCTGCGCTCACCTCGCGCCCGGGCGCTTCAATCGTTTGGCCTGGAGGGCTTGGATGTGGAGCCATTTAGTCACTGGTTGTAAGCCATATGCATGCATGGATGCATGCATGGATGGATGTATGTATGTATGTATGGATGGATGGATGTATGTATGTATGCATGCATGGATGGATGTATGTATGTATGGATGGATGGATGTATGTATGTATGGATGTATGTATGTATGTATGCATGCATGGATGGATGTATGTATGGATGGATGGATGGATGTATGTATGTATGCATGCATGGATGGATGTATGTATGTATGGATGGATGGATGTATGTATGGATGGATGGATGTATGTATGTATGCATGCATGCATGGATGGATGTATGTATGGATGGATGTATGTATGTATGTATGTATATACATATATATAATATTAGTGTAGAATATTTAATATAATATTATATATACAATATAATTTATATTTATATATAATGTAAAATCTGCAAGATCATATATATAATATCTTCATTTTTTAAGTATTTATATCCAATATCTACAATAAAAAAATAAAAATATCTATAATATTATATTTACAATATCTATAATATCATATATATAATATTGAATATAACAATAATATATATATATATATATATAATTATATATATATACTTACAATACCTATATGTTGGCGGGTCTGAAAACTAGGGTATACCTTCAAAATATCCATTGAGTCGGGAAAATTCCATGACATTCCCAAAAAAAAATATGTAAATGGGTCCCATATAAGCTATGGTTATTAGTTGGACTTGGATGCTTGGTTTCGGCTTAGTTCACCTTCAGTCCCTGAATGCTTCTAAAACCTTTATCTCAAAAGAGAGGTGGTTAGCGGGGTTGTCCCCAACAGCTTGGATCAAGTTCCTGTTTATGGATCCCTTGGGGTAAATTACAACTGGTTCATGATTAAGCATGATCCGTCTCTGTCCCTCGACATCCAAGGGGTTCAGCATCAGGCTGAAAGCGAGCAGGTGGCCCGATCAAATGAAGCCACGACGAATGGAACAACGGTCGCTCGAAATAGCGTGATCACGGCAAGCATTTTTTCTCGCATATCCACTGCGGACTGGATCAAGGTGACACCTGGGGCTGTTCTCTCGTTAAACCTCAGCCATGCTTTGCAACGCGCAACAAAATCCCTGCAGTTGTTGCTTCATGAACATTTGGCGGCTGAAGCTTGAGCCACACAGCCTTCACAGCCGACAGCCCTTGCAGCTATAGCAGCTCTTTCAGCTCTCAACCCGTGCGGCTTCAGCCCCATGTAAAACACATCTTGCGGTCAGCAAGTGACGAGCAGTTCTATCTTTTTTCCAGCACAGTTGACAATTCTAGCCGCTGCCCAAACTATGCCACATTGAGCTTGCTTGACATCAGTCAACTGAAGCCCCGCATACTTCCTAAACATGGCGAGCTCCTCTTTCCGTCTTTCTTCAAACACGTACCATCAACCTCCCAGTCAGCTGCTAGAAAATATCACAGTTCAAACATAGCTCTTGCAACTCACAACTACACCTTGCAGTTCATAGCGGTTCATAGGTGGGCCGTTTGCATGTGTTGGAGACTCTGGGGACAAACGCAAAATGTGACTATTCAACCACTAAAATCCATAAACGATATCTCCTGGGAAGCTGGTCCCGGGACAAGCCCGGTTAGGGTCACAGGTTGAGGGAGGCTTTGAAGGACATGGTTTACATGTTTACCGTCCAAAGTTTTCCTTTGAATCCTGATAAATCTTCTACACCACTCACATTTGTTGACAGCATCCGAGTTCTTTACCGAGATGGACCACTGCTTTTGAGGAGTCCCAAACTTTATCTCAGACCAACCAACATGGAAGTGGTATCTTATGGCCAAATTCACCAGGTTGACAACCTTGTGGTGCGTATTTACATGAGTTTACCATGTTCAGCATGTTTCGGCTTCACGATACTTGCATCTGGGGTATCGCCATGACTTAGGAAACCACCACATGATCTACCCTGAAATGGGATACTTCCATGGTGTTTTCGGCCTGACATTTCTGTCCCCCCCTGACCTCTCCCTGTGATGGTGAGGACGGCATGGTTTTTGGCATTTGCCTCTGCAGGGAGAGGCAACATGCAATGATGTACGCTCGAAATCAAGGGAAAATACACCAAAAAAAATCCTTTTCACTAGGAAACATGATGAGACACCATGAGATTGTGAAGATCCAATTTTATATTAATTTTTGATGTTAAAATCATTGGGCTGACTTAAGGGAAGATTTACAAAGAAACCAGGGAGTTCAGCCTCAAATATATTGGTGTCCTTCAATTTTTACCTGAAACGACTCCTGTGAACAAATACCAAATACCAAGTGAAAAAACATGGGCCTTCCTGAAAATGGTGTCGAGATACCCTTAATTTGAACCAAACAGTGGTACCATACATGGATCATATTGTGCTTGCTTCTCCATCAGTCCGGAGATCTCATCTCAGGAGCTACTTTCTTTGTTGACGAGACAAAGGCCCTCTGGTCATTCAACCTGGCTTGTATTTTTTTCTGAATCTCCAAGGATGTGAATTTTCCATTGTGAGATGAGATTCCAAACGGCACACCCAAGTCCCAAATCCCTTATCTATACTCCATTGTTGACGCGTAAATCCCCAAATTGTAGATGAACTTCTTCTTCTTCGAGTCGAACCGATTCTAGATCCAGATGATCACAGTGGGTTTTCATCCCCTTGAGCATCATATCGTATCATCTCGGTGAATTTTCACTATATTCCCATCATATCCCCGCTTTTCCCAGGTTTTGACCACTGCTCAGGTGAGATTTTCCACGCTCCGAAGGCACCTGGTTGATACGTCCTCCAGGGGTGCTAGAGCCGGGGGAGGCGGCGCTAAACCGCGACCCATGGCGTGTGGCAACGCCTTCAGAGATGGACGGGGCACCCAGAAAATTGATGGCAACGGGAAATCATGAGATTCAATATGGTTTTTTAATGAGATTTACTGTACAAGTAGTATGCTTTAATGCTGGTTGGTGGTATACCTACCCCTCTGAAAAATATGAAAGTCAGTTGGGATTATTATTCCCAATATATGAAAAAAAACACCAACCAGGTAGGATGATTTAATGAAATATCATGAGATTTATTGGCATTTAATGGGACAAAAAAAACCCTCTGGTGTCATCAATGGCTGGAAAATCCCTGAACACATGGAGGTTTATAGCTGGGAACATCGTCAACTGGTGAGTTTCTAGCATAAGTCCATCTGACTATAGTTGTACTCACCATAGACCTTAGTTATTATAGGCAGCTAACGAACTGCGGCACCTCTGTAGATGACAGAGGTCAGAATTGGATGAATTATGGGATCAGTTGTTTATTTCCAAATGCTTTGAGTATCCCGGATGTATCCAAAACATATGTCCGTAATTTATATTCGTTGATCGCATAGAAAGGAAACCATTGGGGATGCATTGGGGATATACTTTGCAATGTACTGGGATATAATGTCGATATCTTATGAGTATGATACGGTTGCGTCTGAAAATGGAGTATCCCCCCAACAATTTACAGCAATTCTCGCGTGAAATGATGATAAACCAGTGGATTTTGAGGTTGCCATCTCATCATTCCAAGGGATGAATCAGGTTGAAAACATGAAATCAACTAGATGAAATAGTCTGGCAAGTGTGGTGGGTCATATCGCTATGAAGATATGACCCAGTGAATTTAGAGGTAAATCCAGGGAAACCGCAGGGCAGATGACCACTGCGTTGGCAACTGGTGCTCGGGTGGTTTCAGCCGCTGTGCTCAAGAATCCAGCACAAGATGCTCGGGAAGTATGCAGTACGTCGGAAAACCCAATGTGAGCATTGGGAGCATAATGAATCTATTCCACACGACTTAGGTGGCTATTTTTCAATGGATTGGTTTCGAAAAATTACTTCGGAAACCCCCAGATTTCATGGGAACATGGAAAAAACCCAGTATCTCCAATAAATTTTCCCTGAAATCAACCCATGGAATGTTGCAAAACTCCCGCTTTCAGAAGCATCTGTTCATCCCTCAAGGGCACTCGAGCAGACCTGCGTCCGCTCAGGTGTGCGATCTGCTATGGCGCTGCATAATCTGATGTGCTAAAAAGGCCACGAAACGACGAGAGGATCGGGTTGACGTATAAATCACATTAAATCACCAAGCGTTCATTGGGGGGTGGTTTTGAATGCATCTGAAAATATCGACACCACGGATGATCTGGGATATGGTCCATATAGAAAATTTGACCCCTATTGGCTTACGGGTTCAAGACTTTGACAGGTTGAGAGGACTTGTTGGCCAAACACAGAAGCTGGTGGCTTGAAGCCATCCCCAAAAATGTCAGAGCGATTGGGATCTAGTACAATGGTTAAGCATGGTTTGACACCTTCCCATTTAGATGCTTGTCATTGTTTATCCCAATGGCAAGTCGTTGCTTTTGGATATGTATCCTCCTCATAGGTATAGATCATTACATCCCTATGATTTTTCCCATTACATTCCCAGGTACCTTTGGTGCGCCCCCCCTGCCCAGCTGGCGCTGCTGCGATTCTTTTCGGGGCACAGGCAGAGCTGGATCTGATGTTCTCATGGGCATCTAAGCAATCCCCCCCTCCTAATGATAGCTGGTTGATATGCCCTTCTCTTCGTGGTTCTTGATGGTTAAGACATGTTGAATCCCCATGATTTCGGACAAGACATTGGAAAAATACAGAACGTCTTTGAGCAGAAACTGAAACAGCGCGTTAAGAAATGGTTGCCATTGATCATTGATCATCATTGATCTTTGCAGACCATCTAATCATATCTAATCTTCAATCCGTTTCTGTGTTTTGGCTGTGGAAAAGTCGATGATCGAAACTTTTCGCTTCGGCCTGCATCCCGGCCGAACATCGACGTGGATCCATGTTGGGAAACGATCCTTTTAATGAGCAGGACACCGTGCTGGTTGGTTTTTAGTTTTAAGGATAACTCCATGGATTCACATTTCATCCCAGAAACTCCACGAAGGTCGTGGTTCAGCCATGGTAAAGAGTTCGAGGAGTTCCGTCGCCTCCAATTCCGTTGAGTGGTGCTGAGAGCGCGGAAAAAAATCGTCGCAACGATCCACCAAGTTTGCGAGCCTTTCACAATCAAATGGATAGAAGCAGAATATGCCATAAGAAGGGAATGTAGTCTGTTTCATGTGTTCGTGGTTCTATAATATTTTCTATAATATTCTATAGTGCTTTGGCTTGGATTGTGCAGGGGTCCCAAGCAGTGACCAAGCAGGTATCGGAAACGACAACTACCAGTACCTTCTGGTGATCAAACATCCCAATGAAAAGCAGGTTCACATATGCATCAAATGGATTTACATAGGAGATATCCATGATTTACCAAAAAATGTATATAATTATTACACTCTTAGGAAACACTAACGTCACTAACAGCTACCACTACCCTTTATAGCACTGACCTTTTTGGAAGATTCCCCGCCCTCAACGCAGAAGTGTCTCACCACGGTCAGCCCATGCTTTGCAGGGCTAAAAGATAGCTGCCAGTAAGAACGCTGCAGCTCCAGCTGGGAATGGGTTCACCGTTTAAGGCGCAACCAGGGCAATTTTCAGTGTTCGACCATCCTTTTTGGGAGGGTCATCAAGTTGGAGTGATACACAAATTGGGGTACTCAAGGAAACCTATAGATTCTACAGCAGATGGGATAGTTTACAAAAAACACCACCAGCATCTCTTGTCCTCTGGTTTATTTTTTTTTGACTGTCTACATGGGTTTATGATGCTTATCCAAAAAAGGAATATCACTAAGATCTCTAACATCAATGTTTAATCACTACCTTCTCTGTCGAAATGTCCATTTTGCGGTGTACACTGTGGACACAACATTTTTAGGACATTCCCAAATCCCTCAAATCTCGGAGCGGCAAAGAAGGATTGCAAATTCAGGTTGGAAGACCGGCCACGTTGCCGCAGCGCTTCGCATGCCACGGTGCTTGAGCGGGCTGCAGTCTTCAGCGCGACATCCGGTTTCAAAAAGGATTGCGACTTGGCTCATTGGTGGTTTCAACATGTTTCAACCCATCCTGATTCAGATCCGGTTTCTGAAGTTGTGGGAAATTAACACTAAAAGACAAAACATCGTTGAAACCACCGGCCATTCAGGAAGAAAAAGATCAAATGTCAGCTGCAAGAGTGCCAGGAGACGACAAAGTCTGGTTGTTCACAGTAGTCCCTTTTTTGGGTACATGCATCCATGATATCCCTGTCAGATTGTACACATAGGTCATGGATACTTGCAATACAGAGGTAGTCGCGCTGTGGCTTACATAACTGCTGAGTATTACTATTCTCATGTCGTAAGTACTAAGTCACGCCCTTGCAGAGTGTTACACGATCATGGTCTGTATATGTATATATATATATATAATTAAATATACACCAGTAGTGCTGCACAGGGCGGTGGCGGAAGTTTCAATAATAGGAAACCTATAGGAGAGGCTGGCTGTTGGGAACCACGGATGGCAGAGCGAATCCACTGATGGACCGACAGGTGGTTGGAGTTGTGTTTCGTGGAGTGGTTGCAATGGTTGCAGTGATCACCTCACCACAACTGCTGGATGGAGTGGTGTGGTGCAGTTGTAGTTGTAGTTGTAGTGCAGCGTAGTGGAGTTGTAGTGGTACTGTAGTGTAGTTAGTGTAGTGTAGTTAGTGTAGTGTAGTCGCAGTTGCTGTTGCCGTTGTAGTTGTGGTGTGGTGTAATTAGTGTAGTGTAGCGCACTGCAGTGTACTGTAGTGTGGTATAGTGTAGCGTAGCCTAGTCTAGTGTAGTTGTAGTGTAGTGTAGTGTTAGTGCAGCGTAGTGCAGTGTAATGTAGTGGTAGTTGTAGTTGCAGTTGTAGTTGTAGTTGTAGTGTAATGTATGTTAATTAGTGTAGTGTAGTGTAGTGTTGTGTAATGTGGTGTAGCTGCAGCTGTATTTGCAATTGTAGTTGTAGCGTGCTGCAGTGTAATTAATGTACGTAGTGTAATGTGATGTAGTTGCAATTGTAGTTGTAGCTGTGGTGGTGGTGGTGGTGGTGGTGGTGGTGGTGGTGGTCGTCGTCGTCGTCGCAGTCGCAGTCGCAGTCGCAGTCGCAGTCGCAGTCGTAGTAGTAGTAGTCGTAGTAGTAGTAGTAGTAGTAGCAGTAGTAGCAGTAGTAGCAGTAGTAGTAGAAGTAGTAGTAGTAGAAGTAGTAGTAGTAGCAGTAGTAGTAGGAGTGGTAGGAGTGGTAGGAGTGGTAGTGGTAGTGGTAGAAGCAGTAGTGCCAGTACTAGTAGTAGTAGAAGAAGTAGTAGTTGTTGTTGTTGTTGTTGCCGTGGTATAGATTGTAATTAGATGTGATTAGATGTAGTTAGATGTAATTAGATGTAATTGGATGAAACTAGATGTAATTAGATGTAATTAGATGTAAGTAGATGGAATTAGATGTAATTAGATGGAATTAGATGTAATTAGGATGTAATTACATGTAATTAGTGCAATGAAGTTGAAGTATAATTAGATTTAGATGTAATTCGTGAATTCGTGTATTGTCGTGTAGTGTAGCGTAGCGTAGTGTAGTGTAACAAGTGTAGTGCAATGTTGCGTAGTATATTTGCATTTGCATTTGTGGTTGTAGTTGTAGTTGTAGTAGTAGTTTAGTCTAGTGGTAGTGGTAGTGGTAGTTGTAGTTGTCTATCAATCTATCTGTCTATCTGCAAGCTTGAAAACGAAGCTATTCTGCGAGACTTCCTCAATTTTTGGAACTTGACAGCAATTCTTCGAGACTTCCTCAATTTTTGAATTTGACAACGTCAAAAACGAAACACAGTTGCAAGACTTCCTCAATTTTCGAAGTTGACAACATCAAAAACGAAGCAATTCTGCGAGACTTCCTTCACAAATGGAAAGTTGAGTGCAGAGCTGACGGCCTCGTACCAATGCGTTTTGCGATTTTTCCACTCCACCTGTCTAAAGTATTGCGCCTGCCACGAGAAAAGTGATGCCAGGTCATACGAAGTGCTGCACCTGTCACGCAAAATCATCTTAGCAAACCTGAAGATCTGATGCTCCAAAATGCAACCCCTATCAGGAAATCAGCGCCCTGACCTCCTAACATCTCTGATGAACACGTCTCTTGTACTGCGCCTGCCAGGGAAAATGTATCTTTAAGATCCTCTTCACATGTCCCACGCCTGCCATCGTTTTTGGAAATGCTACAAAACCATCACGTTTTGCTCACTTTTGACAAGGTGCAGAATCCCTTGCGCCTGCCACGCAACACGACGCTTCAACTTCCAAAAGCGGCGCGAAAATGTGGCGCTTTTAGCATTATGACTTCGAAATGTGCTTCGCGCCACAACGGCGTGCACTTTTTCAACATCACAACTTCCAAAAGTGGTCCGAACATATGGTGTTTTGCACATTTTGACTTCGAAATGTGCTTCGCGCCACAACGGCGTGCACTTTTTCAACATCTCATCTTCCAAAAGTACTCCGAGGTTGGTGTGCTTTGTACATTTTGACTTGGGAATGTGCTTCGCGCCACAACGGCGTGCACTTTTTCAACATCTCATCTTCCAAAAGTACTCCGAGGTTGGTGTGCTTTGTACATTTTGACTTGGAAATGTGCTTCGCGCCACAACAGCGTGCAATTTTTGATCTCTCATCTGGCCAGATGGCTCCGCACCCGCCGCTTTAGCGACCCTACTTTTCGACCCTCCGGAGACACAAATTGGAAAAACACGGTGATTCGCGACGTTTCTACCTTTTCGTGCACCTGCATCTTCTTTCTTCTGACTCTTTCTCTTCTCTGATCTTCTTTCTTCTTCTCTTCTCTTCTCTTCTCTTCTCTTCTCTTCTCTTCTCTTCTCTCACTCTTCCTACCTCTGCTTTTCCATCTGTCCATACTGCCGGAAGTTTGACTTCTAAACTTCCTTCGATGTATACATACGCAGAGAGAGAATTACATACATACATACATATATATATATATGTGTGTGTTATTTCACACATCATAGTCCAGTGGATGTCCATTTCATCCCATTTTCCAAAGTTTTTTGTCAGTGCATGTCATTCCATC